TCTAGCCGTTTGGACAAATAGGCTACTGGCCTCCTCCAGGGTCCCAAAGTTTGAGTTAGGACCCCTTTCGCTACTCCTTTGGTTTCTGCCACATGTAGTTGGAATGGTTTATCTAGATTGGGCAGAGCCAGGGCGGGGGTGCTGGTCAGAGCACGCTTGAGCATCTAGAAGGCCTCTACCTCAACCTCTGTCCAAATTAAGTTGGACCCTGGGCCTCCTGTAGCTGCATAAAGGGGTTTGGCAATCTCAGCAAACCCCCAAATCCAGAGCCTGCAGTACCCTACTGCACCAAGGAACTCTCTTACTTGCCTCTTTGTCCTGGGAGTAGGTATGGACAGGATGGCCTGGATCCTTCCAGCTGAGAGAGTCTGTTTTCCTTCCTTTATTCAATACCCTAAGTACGTGACCTCAGTAGAGCAAAGCTGGGCCTTTTTCACAGAGACCCAATATCCTAACTGGTCTAGGGCCATGAGCAGATCTCATGTCACTTGTTTACACCCCTGTAGGTCCTTTGTGGTGAGTAAGAGGTCATCAACATACTGAAGGAGGGTAACTGCAGGGTGTTGGAGCCAGAATTCCCTAAGATCCTGATTTAAGGCCTTGTCAAACAGAGTAGGGGCGTTCTTAAACCCCATGTCAACTGTTCTGATTCCCCTTTCTCCGGGTCAGTCCATTCAAAGGTGAAAATTGATTGGCTCTGGGCCGCCAGGGGAAGGGAGAAGAACGCGTCTTTTAAGTCTAAGATATGTAGTATCAGAGCTCAGGTCCAAGTCAACTCAGTAGAGTATAAGGGTTAGGGACTGTTGGGTGTATTGTCTCTACTCTTTTGTTTACTTCTCTTAAGTCCTGGACTGGACTGAAGTCCTCTCTGCCTGGTTTATGAACAGGGAGAAGGGGGGTATTCCAAGCCCATTGGCAAGGGACTAGAATTCCTGCCTCCTGGAGTCTCTGGATGCGCTTGGCGATCCCGACCTTCGCTTTTTGACTCATTGGGTATTGTCTGATGCGGACAGGGACTGCCACACTAGTTAGTTGGAGAATGATGGGAGGTCTGTGGGCTGCCAGCCCAGGAGGGCTCCTTTCTGCCCATACTCCCGGGATCTCCTGCCTCAACTGCTGTAGAAGCAGGTCGGGGGCAGAGGAAGCTGGGAGTGTCTGATGCAAACGGTATTCTTCCTTGAGCAGACATGTTAGGAGGAGGACTGGGGTGGCATGTGTCGTCTGTCACTCATGGTTCCCCTTTCGCAAAGGTGATGGTGGCCTGCAGTTTGCTGAGGAGGTCGCTACTGAGGAGGGGATACAGGCATTCTGGCATGACAAGGAAGGAGTGGGTAACAGTCTTAGTCCCCAGGTTAGAAATACAGGCTTGGGTCCAGGGGTAGGATTTTATGTGTCCNGGTAATTATTGGGCTAGCTTGTCAGGCCTTGTCCTGTACAATAGGGATCTTTTTCTACCTTTACTGTTAGTTCCTTAGGTGTTCTTCTGGCCATGGTGGCCAGAACAATGATGGCCAGAACATTCCTCACTGGTCTTTTGGGGGGATCAAATCTTTGATTCCTCTTCTTCTGAGCCTACAATGCGCTGGTACTGAGTATGGAGAACCATGAGTTTTACTGCCTGAATCCTTTCCTGCACAAAATTGAGTAGGCATTTAGCGAAGCATGGTCCAAAAATCAAGAATAATATAAGGAGTACTAACAGACCAGCGACTGCCGAAAGGAGGGTAGTTAACCACGGGGACCAGTTGAACAAGTTCTCAAACTAGTTTTCTCTGTCCCTACGCCTTTCTTCCTGATCTAGGAGTCGCTTTCTTAGCCGGCTTAAACTTTATAACACCAGAGTGATTGGTGTAAAAACAGCAGGTCTCACCCAGCACTAGACAGAGCACTCCCTGTTTGAGGAATAGGAGGTGCAGTCCCCTTCTATTCTGTAACACAACTTCTGCTAGCGAGCCTACAGACTCCTCAGGCTGAGTTACTGACCTTTCTAGGGTGGCGAGGTCTTGGTCAATATGACATCTTAGTTCACGGTAGTTTTGTTGTCCAGTTATTAGTGCAGCTGTACCCACCACTGTCGATCTAGCTAGGCCGAGCCCCATGAGCACCGGCACAAGGATAGGGGTTCTCTTAACCCTCCTTGGCTCTAACCTAAGGTGCTCTCACCCTCCCTCTCCAGAGTAATAATACACCTGAAGTAAAATATGGGTTAGGATGCATATGCCAGGATGGTATATAGACTGTAAGGCAGGAGGGAAAGTGCAGGGGGTCAAACCATTACTACATGCCCACCAAGTACCTTCTGGGGCAACTAGGTAAACAAGGGTTCCATCACCATCAGTATAGTTAACAGGGAAGGTAATGGCTTGGGCACAGGACTGGGCATAGGGCGAAGAATGAAGGGGGAAATTCTCTGGATATATACAAGTCCCTGCTCCTTGGAGGCCCTCTAAGGTAAGTTGAGGCTTATATCTTCAGGTACACAACCCTGGGGGTAGAGTGCTTATTACAGAGTAGTTACGAATTTGTGAGCTCTCCTGTCCTATGGAGATATTAGCCCCAATGCCAATATAGTAGGGAGGTTCAGGGTTTAGGCATAACCAACAATCCTGGGTTATATTTAGGGAAGTCTTATTCAAAAACATAAACATAGCCTCCAGAGTCCTCATGAGTCCACGGTGTGGAAGCTCCAGAGGTGGAGGTGGGATGTCCTCAGAAGTTCTCGGTGATGCATCCCTTTCAGGGTCAGGGGCCACTGTGCGATTCCTTAGTCCTGGTGTAGAGATGTTCCCTGGAGGTGGTGAGGTCTTGAGTCTGGTTCCTCTGGTGGGAAGACTGGTCGTAGGGGACCGATGGGGTTAGGGGCCCTCGGCACCGTTAGCCACTGGATGGTGAATAGGACCCCTGGGTCTCGTCCAGACATATAGAGGCATAGCCCCTAAGTCTTACATCTTTCCCAGTAGCTTGCTTGCCAGTTCAGGGGGGTCAGAGTGATTGGATTACAGTCCCCCTGAGTACAGTTGACCTTTGGGCCTCCTCCCCGTATTACCCTGACTAGACGGAGGGTAGGGCCTATGGTTTTCCATGGGGCTAGAGTCTCACAGCCCCAGGCAGCACAATAAAAATCTTCCTCTCTGCCACATCTGGGGGGGCCCTCCCTGGGACATATATAATGCTGAGTGTGCCATAGCTGTGCCTCAAGCCCCTGAGTCCTACACCAATAAGTTTAAGCCCCAGTCCACCAGGCATGACCGCAGGAGGTGTATCCTGTCAGCCGGCTCTTGTCTGGGAGTTTCCCCAATTTTCTCCGAACAGCTTACAAAGGTCTGAGGTCAGTGTCGGAGCCCCGGCAGTAGTAACCTTAGCAACTGAGGCCCCATCAAGGGTACGGGTTACCTCCCATTCATAGACTGGGGCATAATGGGGACTTTGGGGGCTCCCAGTAACTTGGGTGTATATAAGGGCTACTAGACATTTTAGAAGGAGGGGGTTCTGAACTGGGGTCTCGAATTAATCTGACCTTTAGGGGATCCTGAGTAAGTTTTACAGTCCATCTTCCCTCAGGCTCGTTAGCCTTTTTAATATGAGTCTGGTGGATCCAGTGCTTCTTTCCGTCTACCTTGATGGCAGTCGGTGTGCTCAGGATAACCTGGAAGGGACCCTCCCATCTGGGCTCTAACGATCTGGGTTCATGCCTCTTTACCCAGACCAGGTCTCCAGGGGAGCAGGCGGGTACAGGGCCTGTGTCTGAAGGGTGGCCCTCTTGATGTATGTCTCGAACGATGCACCTCGTGGTGGCAGAGCTAGTGTGGAGTGCCTGTAGGGACCTAAGGAGATGTTGATTAGAAAACGTTGCCATTTCCTCTTCCCTCAACTGGGGAAGGAGTGGCGGTGGTGGGCGGAACATAATCTCAAAAGGAGTTAGCCCCTTAACATATGGGGTACACTGAGCCCTGAAGAGGGTGAAGGGGAGGAGACTTACCTAGTTTTTGCCAGTCTCTAACTTTCATTTAGCCAGTGTTTCCTTTAAGTCGGATTTATCCTTTCTACCTGCCCTGAGCTTTGTGGTCTGTAAACACAATGTAATGTCCACTTAATCCCAAGAGCCTTTGCTAACAATTGGGTAATCTTGGTGATGAACGCCGGGCGATTGTCAGACCCCACGTACAACAGTAGGCCAAACCGGGGGAGAATTTCAGAGAGGAGTTCCTAGTTACTATTTGTGCCATTTCAGTTTTGGTCAGATATGCTTCTGGCCAACCCGAGAAGGTGTCTGCAAATACCAGGAGCTAAAGGTAGCTCCCTACCCCTCCGGGGATCTCGGTGAAATCTACTTCCCAGTGTTCTCCTGGTTCGGTACCCCGAAACTGGATCCCAGGAGGGGCCAACACTAGGGGCCCTGGATTTACTTGTGCACAAGTCTGGCAGCGCCTGGCGATGCCCTTGGCCATCTTGTGTAGTCCCAGAATGTAGTATTCTCTCCCTAAGAGCTCTACCATCTTCGTTCCTCCTGGGTGGGTGCTCTGATGGGTTTGCTGGAGTATAGCTCTCCCAACAACAGCTGGAACTAGCAGTCTCCCATGTGGCAGTTGTAGCCACCCTCCTTCTATCCTCCTCACGTCAAGCTGGGTGGCTACTTTCCGCTCTCCCGGGGAATACTTGGGGCCTGACTCCAAAGTTCGTGTCGGCACGGTCACCAAAATTTCTAGAGGCCCCACTGGTCTTTTTGCCACTTCCTGGGCCTTCTGGTCCGCCAACCAGTTACCCCTTGTGGTGGGGGAGTCATCTTTCTGATGTCCTCTGCAGTGCATTACAGCTACTTCCATGGGGCCCCAAATGGCTGACAAGAGGCTTAGGATTTCTGGGCCATTCTTTATATTCTTCCCTGCCGAGGTTAAAAGTCCTCTCTCCTTATAGAGAGCTCCATGGATGTGAACAGTGGCAAAAGCATACCTGCTGTCTGTGTAAATGTTAACCCTCTTGTTTCTTCCCCACCTCAGGGCCTAGGTGAGGGCTATAAGTTCAGCCTTCTGTGCTGATGTCCCCCGGCCGAATGCCTGAGCCCAGAGTACCCCCTTCTGGGTGACCACTTCTGCCCCTGCATACAGGACACCTTGTTCAACGAAGCTGCTGCCATCCATGAACAGAGTTTCATCTAGGCTGGCAAGGGTCTGGTCAGTCAGATCTGCCCGCAGCAAAGTCAGGGCTGTCAAGGTTTCCTCACAATCATGCAATGGCTCCGTTCCCCCAGTCCCATCCTCAGGAAGGAGAGTGGCAGGGTTTAGGGCCACCGTCCTCAGGAAAGTCACTCTAGGGGGGTCTAGCAGTTGTACTTGGTACTGGGTAATGCGTGTGTTGAACATCCAGTGCTCTGGGGGGCTGTGTAGCAGGCTCTCGACATTATGGGGAGCTATTACTTGCAAGTTTTGTCTGAAAGTCAACTTGGAAGCCTCTTTGACTAAGACCGCTGTGGCGGTGATGGCCTTCAGGCAGCCAGGCCACCCTGCCACTACTGGGTCTAGCCGTTTGGACAAATAGGCTACTGGCCTCCTCCAGGGTCCCAAAGTTTGAGTTAGGACCCCTTTCGCTACTCCTTTGGTTTCTGCCACATGTAGTTGGAATGGTTTATCTAGATTGGGCAGAGCCAGGGCGGGGGTGCTGGTCAGAGCACGCTTGAGCATCTAGAAGGCCTCTACCTCAACCTCTGTCCAAATTAAGTTGGACCCTGGGCCTCCTGTAGCTGCATAAAGGGGTTTGGCAATCTCAGCAAACCCCCAAATCCAGAGCCTGCAGTACCCTACTGCACCAAGGAACTCTCTTACTTGCCTCTTTGTCCTGGGAGTAGGTATGGACAGGATGGCCTGGATCCTTCCAGCTGAGAGAGTCTGTTTTCCTTCCTTTATTCAATACCCTAAGTACGTGACCTCAGTAGAGCAAAGCTGGGCCTTTTTCACAGAGACCCAATATCCTAACTGGTCTAGGGCCATGAGCAGATCTCATGTCACTTGTTTACACCCCTGTAGGTCCTTTGTGGTGAGTAAGAGGTCATCAACATACTGAAGGAGGGTAACTGCAGGGTGTTGGAGCCAGAATTCCCTAAGATCCTGATTTAAGGCCTTGTCAAACAGAGTAGGGGCGTTCTTAAACCCCATGTCAACTGTTCTGATTCCCCTTTCTCCGGGTCAGTCCATTCAAAGGTGAAAATTGATTGGCTCTGGGCCGCCAGGGGAAGGGAGAAGAACGCGTCTTTTAAGTCTAAGATATGTAGTATCAGAGCTCAGGTCCAAGTCAACTCAGTAGAGTATAAGGGTTAGGGACTGTTGGGTGTATTGTCTCTACTCTTTTGTTTACTTCTCTTAAGTCCTGGACTGGACTGAAGTCCTCTCTGCCTGGTTTATGAACAGGGAGAAGGGGGGTATTCCAAGCCCATTGGCAAGGGACTAGAATTCCTGCCTCCTGGAGTCTCTGGATGCGCTTGGCGATCCCGACCTTCGCTTTTTGACTCATTGGGTATTGTCTGATGCGGACAGGGACTGCCACACTAGTTAGTTGGAGAATGATGGGAGGTCTGTGGGCTGCCAGCCCAGGAGGGCTCCTTTCTGCCCATACTCCCGGGATCTCCTGCCTCAACTGCTGTAGAAGCAGGTCGGGGGCAGAGGAAGCTGGGAGTGTCTGATGCAAACGGTATTCTTCCTTGAGCAGACATGTTAGGAGGAGGACTGGGGTGGCATGTGTCGTCTGTCACTCATGGTTCCCCTTTCGCAAAGGTGATGGTGGCCTGCAGTTTGCTGAGGAGGTCGCTACTGAGGAGGGGATACAGGCATTCTGGCATGACAAGGAAGGAGTGGGTAACAGTCTTAGTCCCCAGGTTAGAAATACAGGCTTGGGTCCAGGGGTAGGATTTTATGTGTCCTGTGGCACCCTGAATCGGGACTTTCCCTTTCGACACTGGCCAGACAGGTTGCTGTAAGACTGAAAAAGTGGCACCTGTATCGATCAGGAAGTCTACAGTTTTGCCCCCTATCTCTAACATTACCTGGGGCTCCTGGGGGCCATCAGAGCCCTGACATCCTCAGTCCATCTCTTCTACCAGTACAGGGACGGGTATGCCTATCTTCCTCTTGGGGCATTCACCCTTCCAGTGTCCTTCTTCCTTGTAATATGCACATTGGTTTTTGCCCAGCCTCAGTTTCACTTCTCTCCTATTTTTGTTCCCCTCCTTCCTGCCTGACCTCTCTTGGGCAACTCTGTTCTCTTGCATTGCCAACAGGACCTTCACCATTCGAGCATTCAGGTTGGCAGCTTGATCTTCGTGATTGTTAAAAACCTTCTGGGCTATTTCGACCAGTTCTGACAGCGGCTTTCCCCCAAAGCCTTCTAACTTCTGTAATTTCTTTCTAATGTCTGGGGCCGACTGGGACACAAAAGCTATGTTAACCACTCGGCGCTTATTTGCAGCCTCTGGGTCTATGGGGGTGTAGACCCGATATGCCTCATATAATCTTTCAAGAAATGCTGCCAGGCTTTCATTCGGTCCTTGGACTGTCTCGGTGACTTTCAAGGGATTTGTGGGCTTCCTGGTTGCAGCCTGGAGGCCCCTCAAGAGAGTCTGGTGAAAACTGTCGAGAGCCTCCCTTCCCTGATCCAAATTTGGATCCCAAGAGGGCCGGCCACTGGGAAACACAGCCTCTAGCCTGGAAGGGTCAGTGGTTGGCTGGCCATCTGACCCCAGGACTAATTTCTGGCCCTCTGTCCTTATCTTCTCTCTCTCTTCCGAAGTAAAAAGGGTTTGCAAGAGCTGTTGGAAATCATGCCAAGTCGGCTGGTGTGTGTGAAAGACTGACTCAAGGAGGGAGATCAGGCCCTGGGGGTCCTGAGAAAAAGAGGGATTCTGATGTTTCCAGTTATAGAGGTCGCTGGTGGAAAAAGGGACATAAACCATAAAGGGCCTCCCAGCAGGGTCACCTGCCCCTACAGGCCCTGCCTGTTGTGGGGGGAGAATCGGGGCTGCCTGATCTAAATTATCTCCCTCCATCACCAGGACTCCTGGCCCATAGGAAGAACCCTGCCTAGTGTGGGGAAGACTCAAGGGGTCTCTAGGTGTCGGGGCTGAGGGTCCCATGGACTCTGGGGAGGGAGGGCACTGGGGACCAGTGGCCAGCGGGGGAGGAACATAGGGAGGTGGCTGGACAAGGGGAAAGTTGTCTCCTCCCTCGTCCTGCAGAATAGGAAGTTTCTTTTCTTTCTCTCTGCCGTTTGGTTCCACTAATAGGACCGTCTGTCTCTCCCATTTTCTTTTCGGAATTTTGGCACTTTTTTAGCCAACGGGGTCTGTCAGTGAGAATATCAACCATAACTGAATGTACGGAATTTGGTCGGGATGGCCAGGATTCCCATATACCTTATTGTGTACCTTATAGGCGATAACCAGATCAAAGGTTCCACTCGGTGACCACCCCACCCCAAATATTGGCCATTCACAGTCACAGAATTTCTGAAGATCAAAGGCATTTACTTCAAACCCATAGCCAGCTGCCCGCTGTTGGAAATCTTTAAAATTATTGAGAAAACATTGTAACAGTGCACACGGAGATGACTGTCCCTGACCCATTTTGACAAACACAATCACAATGAAAAATGAAAAACAGACAGACCAGACAGGTGCCCCCTAAGGCGGCATGCACCAGAGACCGCAGCTGCCGTCGCGGCTGAGCGTCTGGACCTGGAGGTTCTGCTGCGTCCAGCCCTCTGACTGTCCTACAGAGGAATGTTCTGAACAGAAGACAGATAGCACGTGCTTACCTTCCTGTGGGGGTCCAGATGGCTCTCAAGGTCGGATCGCAAATTTAGGAGGAGATACTCCACCTCCCAGGAACCCCAGACAGAGACTGGAGTATCCTCACCTGGGATGTCTGCAGGCCCATGGCCAGAGTGATCTCGCTGGGGCCTCCAAATGTTCTGGTGTGACCTGCGACAGACGACCACCAGAGTTTGTGTTTGAATTTTTGGAGCCTTTATTAGCTGGCCAGCAGCTACAGTTGCAGCATCTCACCCATGTAAGAGCCGAACTGCAGCCCCGACCCTCAGTTATTCCCACATTTTATACTCAGTAACTACAAAGGCAACTATGGTAAAGGGGCTTCTAATAATTTGATAATTTGTTAGGTTGTCAGCTTTTGTAACATGAAACAAGGGGGGGACCCTTAGTAACATAAAAGGGATGATTTAAACACAATGTCTTACAATGAGTAATGGGGTTATGCTTGACCGGAGTGTGACTGGTTTGTTTTGTTTTTCTAAAGGACTTCATGGGGAGCGGTAATTATTGGGCTAGCTTGTCAGGCCTTTTCCTGTACAAAAGGGATCTTTTTCTACCTTTACTGTTAGTTCCTTAGGTGTTCTTCTGGCCATGGTGGCCAGAACAATGATGGCCAGAACAGGGAATATGCAAAGGATAGGGATTATTTTTTTCTTTTATTTTATATTTGGGATTTTGGTTTCTTCTCCCCATAGCGAAGATAATTAAAGGTATATTGGACATGGATTGATTCACCAGCCCCCAAAGGTTCCCCAATAAGACATTTAAGTCATCCCTTAGAGGCTTTGAAGTGGATTGCTGGCTAAATGTAGGAAAAAGGAATGTATAATATCCAAATTCAGGAACCGTTGGAGAGTCTGTCTAATTTAATGCTGCAGAGTATTCAAGCTGTACAACTATGAGCCAGGAGTTACACAACACCAAACTTTACACTGGCTTAAAAACATAAAGCCAGTCAGAGAAAAACAAATATCGCATAATCTCACTTATATGTGAAATCAAATGAACAAAATAAACTGATGAATAAAATAGAACTAGAGGCATGGAAACATGGACCAGACTGATGAATTTCACAGGGAAGGGGCATGGGAAGGGATTAACCAAAGAACTTGTATGCATACATGCATTCCTCACTGACACAGACAATAGGGTGGTGAAGGCCTGGAGCAGGGTGGAGGGGGCAATGGGAGAATAAAGGTGGGACATCTGCAATACTATCAACAATAAAGATTTTAAAAAATGAAAGTAAAGAATAAAAAGGTACAATGAAAACAAGCCAGTGGAAAAACAAACAAAAAACATCATGAAACATTATACTTTTCACCTGCAACCTACCTACACTTTTTTTCTTTCCCAGTTGCAGACATCATGAAGTGAAGAACTTGTGTAAGCCTCTTCCAGTGATCCCCTGAGGATACAAAGTAATGGCAAGGATGGGAGCTCATAAGTATTTTTTAAATTGAGGTGTAGTTGACAGATAACATTATATTAATTTCAGGTGTACAACATAATGAGTCAATATTTTTCTATATTGCAAAATGACCACAGTAATCTAGTTAACATCCATCACCATGCATAATTACAAATGTTTTTCTTGTGATGAGAACTTTTATGATCTACTGTATTTGAAATTTTGAAATATGCAATGCAGTATTATTATTTATTTATTTTAATTTTGGTTTAAAAAATTACAAATGTCCCTTTTTTTCCCCAATGACCCATTCTACCCTGTTTCATCCCCCTCCCCAGTCCCACTCCCCACCATTGTCCATGTCCTTGAGTTGTGCATATATGCATATAAATTCTTTGGTTACTCTCTCCCCCTCCACTCACTCGCCCTTCTCCATCCCTCTGATATTCGTCAGTCTGATCTATGCTTCCATGTCATTGAATCTATTCTGTTCATCAGTTTATTAAGTTCTTTAGATTCCACGTATAAGCGAGATCATGTGATGTTTGCATTTTTCTGCCTGACTTATTTCACTTAGCATAATATTCTCCAAGTCCATCCATACTGTCCCAAAAGGTACAAAATCCTTCTTCTTTACAGCTGCATAGTATTCCATTGTGTATATGTCCCACAGCTTTTTTATCCACCCATCTACAGATGGGCACTTGGGCAGTTTCCAGATCTTAGCTATTGTAAATAGTGCTGATATGGACACAGGGGTGGATATATTCTTTCTGAATAGTGTTTCAGGATTCTTAGGATATATTCCTAGAAGTGAGATCACTGGTTTAAAAGGCAGTTCCATTTTTAATTTTTTGAGGAACCTCCATACTGTTTTCCATAGTGGTTGCACCAGTCTGCATTCCCACCAGCAGTGTACCACATCTTCGCCAGCACATGTCGTTTGTTGATTTGTTGATGGCAGCCATTCTGGCAGGTTTGAAGTGATACTTCATTGTGGTTTTAATTTGCATCTCTCTGATGATTAGTGACATTGAGCATTTTCTCATATCTCTTGCTCATGTGTATGTCCTCTTTGGAGAAGTGCCTGTTCAGGCCCTTTGCCGATTTCCTAATTGGGTAGGTTGTCTTCCTCTTGTTGAGTAGTATGAGTTCTTTGCACACTTTGGAAATTTTCCCCTTATCAGATACATCCTTGGCAAATGTTTTCCCAGACCGTGGGGTTCCTTTGTATTTTGAGGTTGTTTTATTTTGCTGTGCAGAAGCTTTTTAGTTTGATGTAGTCTGATCTTTTATTTTTTTCTTTTTTTTTATCTTGCCCTAGGAGTTGTATCAGTGAAAAGTCCACTACATGGGATGTCTGTGACTTTACTGCCTATGTTTTCTTCCAGGATTTTTATGGTTTCGTGACTTACATTTTAGTCTTTTATCCATTTTGAGTTTATTTTTGTGTATGGTGAAAGTTGGTTGTCTAGTTTCATTTTTTTGCATATAGCTGTTGAATTTTCCCAGCACCGCTTATTGAAGAGATTACCTTTACTCCACTGGATACTCTGGCCTCCTTTGTCAAATATTAACTGACCATAATGGCATGGGTCGATTTCTGGGGAATCTGTTCTGTTCCACTGATCTGTATGTCTGTTGTTGTACTAATACCAGGCTGTTTTGATTACAATGGCTTTGTAGTACAGTTTGATGTCTGGTAAAGTGATCCCTCCCACTCTGTCCTTTTTTCTCAAGATGGGTGCAGCTATTCGGGGTCTTTTTTGGTTCCATACAAATTTTTGAAATGTTTGTTCTAGATCTATGAAATATGCTGTTGGTATTTTAATAGGAATTACATTGAATTTATAAATTGCTTCGGGTAGTATGGACATTTTAATGACACTAATTCTTCCAATTCATGAGCATGGTATATTCTTCCACTTGTTTATATCTTTGTCTATTTCTTATTTCAGTGTCCCATACTTTTCCCAGTACAGGTGTTTTACATCCTAGGTTAAGTTTATACCTAGGTATCTTATTTTTTTAGTTGCAATGGTAAATGGTATTGTTTTTTTATTTTCTCTTTCTGGAAGTCCATTGTTGGTGTATAAGAATGCCATTAATTTAAGGATGTTGATTTTGTATCCAGCTACCTTGCCAAATTCGTTTATCAAATCTAGTAGTGCTTTGATGAAGTCTTTAGGGTTTTCTATGTACAATATCATGTCATCTGCAAATAATGAGAGTTTTACTTCCTCCTTTCCAATTTGGTTGTCTTTTATGTTTTCTTCCTTTCTGATGGCTGTGGCAAGACCTTCCAGTACTATGTTGAATAAATGGTGAAAGTGGACATCCTGTTTTTTTCCTGTTTTTAAGGGAAATGGTTTTAATTTTTGCCCATTGAGAATGCTGTTGGCTGGAGGTTTGTCATATATGGTCTTTATTATGCTGAGGTATGATCCCTCTATTCCCACTTTGCTGAGAGTATTTATCAGAAATGGGTGCTGGATTCTGTCCAATGCTTCTTTTTAATCCACCAATATGGTAATATGATTTATGTCTTTTATTTTGTTTATGTGATGCATCACATTTATTGATTTGTGGATGTTATACCAGCCTTTCATCCTCAGAATAAATCCCACTTGGTCGTGATGTATGATCTTTTTAATGTATTGCTGGATCCGGTTTGCTAGTATTTTAGTGATGATTTTAGCATCTATGTTCATCAGGGATATTGGCCTGTAACTCTCTTTCTTTGTAGGGTCTTTATCTGGTTTTGGGATTAGGATGATGCTGGCCTCATAAAAAGAGTTTGGGAGTTTTCCCTCCTCTTGAATTTTCTAGAACATTTTGAATAAAATAGGTGTTAATTCTTTGAATGTTTGTTAAGACTCACTTGTAAATCCAT